AGATATTTCACCGGCATCCAGGTCGGTATCGTCAGTGAGTCTCGTCAATCTCCATACCAAGTTACAACTCGTCAAGGAGCCAATCCCTTGAACATATTTCTGTCCTGCCCCAAGGCACATACAAAGTTGCCTTACCGGCAGAGCACAGAGGCTCTGATTCCAGTGCTCGCAGACTTGAGAAGTAGTGCCTGGAGTAAAACGTACATTGAGGATGAAAACGAATGAATTTGGACAACCGGAAAGATAGGTAATGGATCTACGGGCCTATGAGGGAGATCCAGATTGGAGATCCGAGTCAGATCAGCAAATCCAAGGAAAGAGTGGTCAAGTCAAGTTTAAGGTTTGATGACACTACGCTAAACTCGCTAAAAAGGGTATATATAGGGAGGATTAACATAAACTATTCAAAAGTTGTGATAGGGCGGGGTGAGACAGGAGGGTAGGGAGTGGCTAGATGGGGCAGGACAAAAAAGGATAGCACAACTGTTCAAGCAGAAATATGTTTAAGGGATTTTCTGATAAAATGAAGTCAGACTATATACATTGAAATGGGAATGCGAACAAAATAGAGTCCACGACATTTTGGTCTCACTATCTACGCCTTGGTTAACTTGTTTTGGTTGCATTCTACTGGCTAGATTTATTGTTTTATGCTGAACGTCATGGTTCATTTGCATAAAATCTGATTGTATCCTTCAATTCGTTTTAAGAATTTGTTCTCTAATTTTATCAGAGAATCAGAGAATCAGTTAATATTTTTTATCTTGAGTTTAGCTAAAGCTTGCTCTTATCTAATCTCTATATTTAATATTTGGCTGACTAACCAATTTGTCTTTTGTCTTTCCATTTCATGCACACTTGCGCAATCACCTATATGCACACATGTATGAATTCACACTCATGAACATGCCCAGATGAGGAAGCTGACTTGCGCGACTTGGCCACCATCTGCATTTGCCATTTGAGTTTCCGATTTGATGTTAATTGGATTCACGCTCGGCCTCCAATTACTCAGAGTATTTCTGCTGAAGATGCTGATCCTGGTAGATCCATTAGAGTCACTACTAAAAGTTCAGTTGCTACTAGAGCCACTTCTGCGGCAGACAACGTTGCTAATGCTTTTGAAGTCGGTACGGATGGTTACGCTGATAGCCGGACTTGTCCTGGACATGAAGAGTGTGGTACTATTTCTCTTCTGAATGCCTCTTCAAATAATCAGGACGAGTACCTTATTGTTGATCCAGTTGCAGCTTTGTCATCACTGCCACCTTGTCAGCTACAGTCATGGCCAGATCATGCTGCTACTAGCGAAAGTAATGTGGCAACTTTACAAAGTTAGGCCCCCTGCATTCTTCATACATGTAGCATTTGGCCTAATCTACTTAGGTGTTGCATTCAGTTAGCTTACATGATGTATTAAATCTGATGAAGCCGAGGCATGTTTTTTTAATTTAGCTGAAACGCAACGTACAGCTTTCTTTTGTGTATAAATATGCCATTTTGGCTCTTATGTCACAAGCGAGGTCGCGCCACTCGAACCTATAAACGGCGCATTTCTCTCATTAAATAACATTATCTAATAATCCCTAGTCTTAAATTCAGGCATGTGAATTTATATCTTGTCCCTGTGTACATTTTCATGTTTCATTCAACCTATCTGGAATATAGAGATATTCCTCTGCATCATTTTAAAAGTACATATAGAAACACAACGTGGAATAGTTTTTCTATCACTGACGATGCCGGCGAAACGTCTTTGAATGTACCATGTCCATGGTCCGACTCTGGAAATGATCATGCATACAATGGACTATGGACTAGCGGCGTTTCTCTAAGTATTGCTGCCAATATGACTAAGTTGCGAAAGCAAGGTCAAACAACTTCTATACAACTAAAGGATACTGCAACCACATAAAATGCCACACCATCTTGGTCTTTGTATCTTCGATTAAGTGTTCTAATTGTCACTTTATTAGAGGACTGATATTTTATGCATTTTATCTCGTCCTTTCTTATCTTATTGCTCTTAAAGCCGATAAAATTGTCCCAATCTAATTAAATCACGTTCATCAATTAGCTATATCCGAGCCCTAGCTGAGCTTATATCTTATTATCTTACTCATAAACCCAAATCTGACTAGGACTTCGCTATTAGAGAACAAATTATGTATACGCCACTCCGAGACGCAAGAAATTTTTTTTCTTGTTAATTAAAAATTAACCTGGAGCTACTGCAATGCAGAACTAGTCTAAATCTTCCATTTGAAGTATAGTTTTTTAATGATTTATTCGGGATGACTGACAAAACACGGTGGTGCCGTTATAGATTCATTTTTTATACCAGCTCACCTACGCCAGCGTATGCCTATTTTCTGTATCAGAATGTGACAAATTGATATATAAATATAGGATTGTGCTTTAAATTGCCTTGGTTCAGTTTCAGCACACGACTCATCCAATTTTGAGAATAGTAAAGAATTTGATATTTTACTAGGCTTGACTATTTACTCATAAGCATGCGCATATAATATTTCGTTACATTTGTATTAATTTTATACTTTTGATTACGCCAGAGTTGTATTTGGGAAATCTGGTCGCTACTATACTAGTTATATTTTTAGTCCATTCCATAGTAAAATAACCCACAAGTGCAAATCTCTATTTGTGCAGTTGACAATGGTTGCGAGCTTTGGCACTTATTGCTTTGTAGACTTTCCGCGATTAAATGCTTTTTTGCATAGTTTGGTAGTCCATTGCAGCTCATTTTATTAATAAATTGTGATCTGAGCGTTTAGTGCTTGGCAGAGGTAAAATATGTGAAAATGTAACAGATGCTGTATAAAATTTGAGTATTGTATATAAATACGTTAGTAATAGAAATTACGTTTAGGGAAACGTGACTACACTATCTATTATAGTATGATTTAGAGTCATTAGTTCGGGAAAACATTTTATTCTAATTCAAATAAGAACTTGTGTCCCAAACTTTGGGCAGCTTGAAGAGTCAAATTTATCATGTGGAAGTCATGGAAGGTCAATCGCGTGCATCTAAGATGCAATGATGTAATAGTAGTGTGGACAAGTAAAAGTCAATACGCTAAGTTGCCTTTTTCAGCACTGTCTTGTCTTTGCGCTCTGCAGTAAAATCACGGTTTAAAGAAAAAAAAATATGCACGGCAGACGTGAATGATCATTAATCTGCACTGAGCAACATTTATGGGACATTCAATTATTTCTTTGCGAGGTTATTGTGCACTCTTCAACTACATTTCCGCCCAAGACATGTTTTAATGTGACAGTCTATTAGCTATACGAGCGCTAGCAAAACATTGTTTTTTAAAATGTTTAAGTTTGAAATCCTTAAGTTTAGCTACAAGGATAACTGAACTTGCGTTCTAAAATGTGAATATGCATAAAAAACATGAATTTGGTGTCCCCTAGTAAAGTTTATGTTTCACAAAATAATAAATTAGTGGAAGCATAATAGTGCTTCTTCTGGCTTAGATAAGAAATTTAAACCTGTGTTGCATCAACTGGAAATGATTTGTAATAGGTACTAGTGGCTAATATCGAGTAAGAACTCTACAAGTTGGGGCAAACG